TCATTTCCTGCCATAGACGTGCGTCTGAGTTTATTTGTGGATCGAGTGTGAATCGATTCAGTCTCATTCTGCTTTTCTCATTCAGCTCGTTTTGGTCGTTGATTCGACAGACGGGGAAAAAAAGAAAAGTCCACCTTTTACGTATCGGAACATAAAAAATGTTTGGTTCTAAAATGATTCAAATCGAACCCAAAGTGTTCAGAAACGTCACGTCATTATTTATTACAAATAAAAATGGAGGAAAAATGGAGTTCAGGGTCCACTCAATGGCTGCAAGGAGCCCAAACCATCAGTGCTCCACCACCGTGCTGACAGCCGGTGTGAGGCGTTTGCTGCAGTGCATTCTGGGTAAACCTCTCCACGTTGGTCTCGAGTTTGTTCCGGAAGTCTTGTGGTTCCTTCAGAACTTAAACTGTCTTACAAGTGAATGGGTCTGCTTTAAATAGTGTATAAATGCTTGGGGACTTTTATTTTGGGAATTTGTTGCTGTAGGTCAACGACATTTAGTTTTATTTTATTTATTTTTTAAAGTTTGAGTCAGTTTTCTCTGTTAATTTTAAATTTTAGGCAGTGTAACATGTTCTGTGGTTTCTATGTCCTGTTTTTAAACCTGTACGCCTGATCAGGAGTCATGACGCGACGGTCTTCTCACTTCTACTTTCCTCTGGGGTTTAAATCTTTTATTTCTCTTTAACCTGCACCTGTGGAGATCCATTCAAGATAATTTAGCCAAACTTTAAACACGTTTGTACCACCACTAGACGGCAACGTGTTGCACAATCTTTTCATCACCCCAGCTCTAAAGTCAAGGTCACAAATCAAGGTCAATAGTTATACAAGGTCTTTGCTTGTCTGGGCCGTTGCTTCAGATTGCTGTATAATAATGGGGCGGCTGTGGCTGAGTGGTTAGAGCAGTCATCCTCCAATGGGAGGGTTGGGGGTTTAATTCTACCAGCGGTCACCTGCTGAAGTGTCCCTGAGCAAGACCCTGAACCCCTCACTGCCTCTGATGTGTGTCCCATCGGTGTATGACTGTGATAAAGCTCTGGTGATTCTTTGTATGTAGTAGAGTTCTGTATGAATGGGTCAACGAGGCACAGATTGTTGTAAAGAGCTTGGAGTGTCTTGATAAGAAAGAAAAGTACACTCCGTTTACCACTGATAATAGATTGACGGGCGTATAATGTGCCGTTTGTGGTACTCTTGTTAATCTTTCTGTTATTTGTACATTTTCTTTCATTCATATTTTAAAATGTCTCAAACTCTGCTGCTTCGACTGGATCCCAATTATCAAACGGACTAAGCGTCAAACTACAAACACCAGAGAGTCGGTTGTTTGTTGTTTTAACGGGAAGATGATGAACTAATGATAATCTGGTGTAAAAACAGCTTTTAAAAAGATTCATATGTCGCAGCTTTTCTGCTGAATGTGAGAATTCAGTTTTCAAGGTGTCGGTTTCTGTTTTGGGATGTCAAGCATCGACAAACCGAATTATCTGCGTTCACAGGAAATTTCTTAATCGTTACGTATAAAAGACACTCACTTCGACATCTAATGCACATTCTTCTTTTTTCTAAAATACTGTAGTTGCAAAATGTCCATGCAGGAATTTCGACTAATTCTTCTCTGACTGTTCAATTTGATGTTTCCTGACGAACAGGAGCTGCGATCACTGGGATCATCCCGGGCTTTAACACCACCGTGCTCACCAACCTGCCCCGCTCCATGCTGCTCATCCAGGTGGAGAGCGTCCTCATGGGCTTCGCCTTCCTCGCCATGATCATTGTAAGACCTGCCAAACACACTCAGTCCTCCAGAACACGGCGATCCAGCTGAACGCCAGGCAAAACAAGGCAGTTCCTCTGAAGCGTTTTGGATCGCCTGAATGCACATCTGGATAAAAAACAAATCTAAAATTAGGCGTAAAGTTGAGTTTTTTGTTAAAGAAATGTATTTGTTTGTTGCTGCGACAGAAGTTTCTTAAAAGACGTTTGAAGTTGATACTTTCCAGTCATTTCTCTCAGCTTGGAGCCTTTGAGAGAGCAAACAAATCACAATGAGACTAGTTAAAAATGCCTCATTAAAAGACTTTAATCTTGTTTTTTGTGCAGGTATGAAAGATGTAAACGGTTCGTTTTTCTCTGCTAGCTCCATGTTCTTTTTTTATATTCATGGAGGGCAATTAAAAAAACTAAGCAGCATCCTTCAAGCTAAAAATGTCTAGCTCTAAATGTTACCTTAAATACAAGTAGTCCGTCGCTACTTCGCGGTTCGTTTATCGCAGACTCGCTCTATCGCGGTTTTTCAAAATAAGATTGGACATGACGCACCACTGGCTGATTGATGGATGAGCTGCACGATCGGCATGGACTTTTTATTTAAAATTATTCAGCACCTGCTGCACCTTTGCGCAGCTCACACTGCAGGATAAACTTCCTGCTGCAGCTGATCAGCTGTTCCCTGTGGAGAAGTGGGCGTGGCCAAAAGCGCTTGCAGGTGGCTTAGAGCAGCGGAAGCAGAAAGAGGGAAATCATGACATTCTGTGCTCTTTTAGAGCGTTTAAAGTTTAGACACATTGTTTAGAATATTGCAAGAGTTGGGGAAGGGTTTAAAACGCCTTTATATATATATATATTTTATAACTACTACAGTACTTACTACTTGTACTACTTTTCCTACTTCGTGGTTTTTCACTTATCGTGGGGCTTCAGGGTACGGATCCCCCGCGATAAAGGAGGGACTACTGTAGTTGTAAAGATCTACAATAAAAACAGCTGTAAGATGTTTGTTTCATTACAGATGAATTGTATTTTTTTCAGTTTACTTTCCGTTCTCCCCCTAAACAAGGTGTTATATATCTAATATACCTAGAAGTCATTAGGCTGCAGCAGCTGGAGAAAATACACATTTTTACTTAGAATTACTCCGAGTTATGACCTGTTTTTACATGTACAGAACTGTAAAAAAAACTGACATTTGTTCAATGTTAGTGCACATTTTGTGCAGTTATTTGATGCAGAAAGTGTCATAATTATGTCTCAATATCGTCTCAATTTGATTGTAGTTTATTCTCTTTTCTGTCTCGAATCAGTCAGGCAATCAAATTCTCCCAAAGTTGTTTCATATTTTTTACACTTCGACTCGCAAATAATAACGGAGAGGTTTGAGACGACCTGGAGGCACCCGCAACTGTTTCAAAAGAGAATTTGTTTTACAAACATTCGTTAATCTTAATCTCACGCAAACACTGAAAAAGGTTTCGAGACGTTTCTTGTGAACTCTGCAGAGATTCGGGCTTTAGCTGCCGAATGCTTGACTGACCAACCAGATGGTTGTTGACTGTCGGCTGTTTCCTGCTGGGAAGACGACTCACGTTGAGGCTGAAACGTTTTCTAGTGAAAACATGTTTCAGATGTAACTGAAAACAAGACTCGGCCTGATGAGCTGAAGCAGAACAACCAAGACGAACGTTATAAAACTAGCAACGTTGACTAATAAAGTTAAAGTTGTCATCTCAGATGCATTTAAATGACAAAGATGAAATTATTTTTCATTTATTTCTTTGGATCTGCAAACTTTTCAGGACCTTAAAGGTTTTACTTTACATCCGTTTTGCTGCTGGATATTTACAAAGATTAGTAACTAAAGGAAATAATTTTTGTTTTTTACCTGTAACAATACCACGTGAACGCAGAATCACTACAATTTGCTTAAGAGACAGAAACTAAGTAGTTAAAATTAAAAGAAACAACAAGATAGCTAAAAGCTAAAATTAGCAGTAGGTTAAGTAAAAGCTAAAAGTAGCAAAAGGCAGATTAAAAATAGCAAAAAGGTAGCTAAACTCTCAAAGTAGCTAAAGTTTTAGTAAAGGCTAAAGTAGACAAAGGCTAGCAAGGAGCTAAAAGTAGTAAAAGGCTGGATAAGTGTAACAAAAGGGTAGCTAAAGGTAGCAAAAAGGCATCTGAAAGCTAAAGGTAGCAAAAGGTTAGGTAAAGGCTAAAATTAACAAAAAGCAGATTAAAGTAACGAAAAGTTAGCTAAACCCTCAAAGTAGCGAAAGGTTCAGTAAAGGCTAAAGTAGCCAAAGGCTAACAAGAAGCTAAAAGTAATATTAGGCTGGGTAAATGTACCAAACAGGTTTCTAAAAGCTAAAAGTAGCTAAAGGGCATCTAAAAGATAAAAGTAGCATAAGGTTAGGTACAGACAAAAGTAGTCAAAGAGTGGCTAAAAGTAGAAGAGTTTAGATAATTGGTTAAAAGTAGTAGCCAAAGGCTAGATTGAAACTTCAAGTAGCAAAAAGCTGTTAAAATAACAAAAGGCTAGCTAAAAGCTAATATAGTAGCCCCTTGTTTATCACGGGGGATCAGTGCCTTGAAGACCCGCAATTAAGTGCAAAACTGAAGTAGGAATAGTAGTAAAAGTAGTAGTTTTATTTATATATGTGTATATATATATATATATATATATATATATACATAATATATATGAATGCGTTTTAAACCCTTCCCACACTCTTGCAATATTCTAAACAGTGTTTCTAAACTAAACGCAATAAAAGGGACAGAATGTCATGATTTCAGCTCCCTGCCTCCTCTACTCTTTGCCACTTTCAAGTGCTCTTGGCCACGCCCACTTCTCTGCATGCTGCAGCTGATCAGCTGTTCAGCAGGAAGTTTATCCTGCAGCAGTAAGGGCTGCACTTTGTGCAGCAGGTGCTAAATAATTTAAAATAATTTATTTTAAATAAAAATTCCATGCCGATCATGCGGCTCATCCATCAATCAGCCAGTTGTGTGTCATGTCCAATCTTATTTTGAAAAACCGCGATAAAGGGAGTCCGTGGAAAAACGAACCGCGAAGTAGCGAGTGCCTACTGTATCACCTAAAACCTTTTGTTTAACTAGATTGTTTAATACTTTTCCGGCAGTTCTTCATGTGTTGTGTTTAAACTACAGAAAGATTGTTCCTGAATAAAGTGAC